AGCTTTTTTCTCATATTTTTACCTTTTCCTCTTTTTTCTTTTAAATATTTACATTTTGGGGTGGGATCTTTATCTGAAGTCACTGGGAGAGAGGATAAATTTTGTTGGGAATGGAGTGGGATGGACGGCATCGTTTTCCTCACATTAACTGGTGGAATCTTTGGAAGCATTTCGCATCATGGTGATATCTGACTTTTGACACGAAAGTGGGGAGAGAGAGATTTTTGACGCTATTGTCGGCGGAGATCCGTATAAGGCTACACGGTCACGTTCCGATCCCCGAGCGTGAAAATCATGCTTCCACGAGACTCCTCCCGCCTTTATTTTCAGCTTATTCCCTCTGACTACTCCACTAAAATTAAATAAAGTAATTGAATTATTATTGAATAAAATAAATTTCTCAATTGACTTTTGTTATTTCGCTCATAAACAAACTTTTACAGTTTTACTTTATTCACACAAAAAATAAGAAAAGATGAAGTTGAAAAAAGTCATCAATGTTCCATCCATCTATGTATGTAGAGTCACTTATGAGAGAAATTAATAATTTTTCCCCCCTAAAAATGACTTGTACATAGGATAAGGATATCTTTAGTACCTAGTATTTTTCTTAATTAAATGCAGAAAAAAAATTATAAAAATAGCTCATGTTTGAACAAGTCAAAACCAATACTGACAAGACTTGGGAGTCAAGGAAAGAAATTAAATTGAGGACGTGTTTGTTTGCTAGAAATAGGTCCCAAGGACAGAAATGGGTGGCTTCTCTGGCCCAGGCTTCAAAATCGCCTGGTACATTACGGTGAAACCTCCATTCCCACCTTCTTTCCTCGTAGGAGCGCACACAGAGGAAAGGAGCTTCCCTTTCCCTCTCAAAAAGCTGAAAGCGTTCGGATTTGTGGAATTTTTTGTGAGAATGGAGTCAATATACCAGTATTTGACATGTCAAGGAAAAAAAATTGAATATTTATATGTTTTTGTACATATATTAAGTACATATCAAGTATTTTTCAATAATTTTTAATTATTAAAAAGGTATGCATTTCTTTAACAAAATAAAGTATGTGGTTTCTTAGCTCCTTTGTGTATTTTATATTTAAGAAAAAAATCCAAATATAATTTGTTTTGTTATTCTACAAATAATTTCGCGTAACAAGAACTCAATTAAAAATCTTATGTATGCTAAGTATTGCACTTGTTAAGGAAGTGTCATCTACAGCTCAAAAGCGTTGGTTCTCAAAATTATAAAGGGTAGTTTTGGCTTTTCCTATATATCATTGAATCCTCAGTCGTTTTTCCTCTTGTCAGTGAAATCATCCCTCTCGACCATTAAAGGTGTGTCTGGATTAGTGGTAGTAGAAAAGTTAGATAGTATAATATGATTTATATTTAGATTGTGTTTTGTAAAAAATCAGTCTGAAAAGCTTGGGAAGCTGAAACTTGTTTAAATGATTAATAAAAAGTAAGTTTAGATGTAAAATGACTTAAAAAGACAAAAATTTTATTAAGTAATACATATCTAATATTATATATATAATGTAACCATTTTAAAAGAAATAGGAAATTTAATTTATTGTTAAGAAGAAATAAAAAAAATACTAAAATACTTAATTAAATATATTTAATGGATAAATATATATCTATATATAACAGTGGCAAACGTTGCGCCTCTGTTCTCGTTTTTTTGACTCTCCAACCAAAAAAAAAAGGCATTCAGACATCCAAAAAATAATATACTCCAAAAGCTTTTCCTGGACTTACCGGTAAAAGCAACAAAAAGGAGCTTCTCCCTGGAAGCTCATTTGCACAAATAAGTTAGGTTGTAAAAATGTAATTCCAAACACATCTCAAATTAAAAACACTTTTTTTGCCGGTAGAGAAGTCAGTTTGGAACCTCAAATATAATTCAAACACACCCTATGGGTGTTTGGATGGCATAAGAAGTGCTTCTAAAAATTATTTTTTTTTTCAAATCAAGATAACCTTCTTCATATATTTACTTCATATATCGTAAAAATCATTTCTAAAACTATTGTTTGGTTTCCATCCAAACACTTCTTAAGAAATGGCTGCTGTTATTGAAGTGGAATGGCACTGTTTAAATTGCAGCCAGAAATATCGAGGGATACAATTGTTAATTCATGAAAGTCCACTCTTCTAGTATGGGACAGACAGCCTTGGGATGTGTTTGGATAAAACCAAACTATGGTTTGAAGAATAGTTTCTGGAAAATAGATTTCGGAGAGAATAGATTTTATGAAAAAGTGATTCTGAGAAGTGAGAGTGTTTGGATAGTTGTTACCAAAAACACTTTTTATATGTGCAAATTACTAAAATGGGCATAAATTAATATTATAATTATATAAGGGATAGATTTTATAATATATTTTTATTTGAAGAAATAAAATTGTTAATAAAATAATTTTTACTAACATAATTAATAATATATAAGATAATATAACTAATAAATAATTAATATGTGTATATATATTTATAAATTATAAGATTAAATAGTGAAGAACCGAGTGCGGAATGGAGAGTGAGGCATCAATTATGGAGGCTACTTTGTCATATGCTGTTGGGCCCACACCAATGTCTGAAAAATTTGAGCCAGAAGCAACTTCAAACCACTTCTGCCGAAACCATGGTTTGATCCCAAACCATGGTTTCACATTTTCTGCCCCTGTTTGGCTGGTTTCTTCCCCAAACTATGGTTTGGAGGGACATCCAAACAGGGCCTTGGATACAAATGAATTGCGTCCAACATTTTGCTGCCAAGGTGAATTTCCAAAATTGCCCAAGCTCATTTATCACCCAAGGGCCAAGCTATCTTCTCCTGACAGGAAATATTTATTTTCAGCTATATTTGGGCTTTTGAAACTTTATTTATTTCTATGGATATCTTAGCTCTTGTCCTGCTAAATTATTTAATTCTTTTTCCATGAACACCAAGCATCACGTTTTTGTTCCATTTTTTATATCCAAAAATGGAATGAAAATGAAAATGAAATACCTGCAGCAACCCTTGCCGACAGGGTTGTATTCCCTCAAACGAAAGGGATAATACCTCGTGAAGGTCTGAAGTCTGTCAATCAAGTTTTCAGAGCAAAAATACCCGAAGGCAGCAATGTAATTTTCTAAACTGAACAGCTTTATTGTGATTCTTGAAATTATATTAATATGTTATTAATTTATTTCAGTAACTAACTAATGCTACCCCGAATTTCAACTTACATAAAAAAATTTTTTTAAAAATATTTAGAGAGTTTTCCAAACACCTGCCTCTTCTTTTCTTTTTTTTATTACAGGTCACTTCTAGCTAACTCATGCAAGTACAGTTAATTTATTAAATTTATCATAAATTGATAATTTTTTCAACATTACTCCTTTTTAAATGAAAGACGTAGCCTGCTTAAAGAACACACAATCTCAATTAATAATAAGAGTAAAATAAAAAAAGGTAATTAATGGCGTATAAAAAATAATAAGAAGTAGCCTGTTCGGAATCAAAAATTAGTTTTAGAATATCTCTTATAATATGGAGAGGACCAGAGGAGGTAGCATGTATAATTAAAAGGCTTAATTAATATTGTCCTGAAATATAAAAACAATAGATGAATATGACTTTTTAAAATGTAAATGTTGAGAAAGGAATGGAGGCGAGGCGAGGTGAGGTAGGGGAATAGCATGACCTATTGTCCTAGATTGCAAATCTAAGATCCTCCTACGAAGTCGTAGAAATAGTGGTGCTCGGAAGCAGCTGGTCAATTGGTGTCCTTTCTTTGCCACCAAATGCACAAAACTGACTAGCAAACCAGAGATAGCATCTACGCCTGAAACGCAGTGTAGAATAGGCCAAACAAAGCCTTGCCACCTACTTTCTCTCCTCACATATATCTTACTGTTTCCAGCGCTGCAGCTAGTGCTTCACAGCATGTCTTTGACGCTCCGTGGCATTTAGGATCCCACTCATGTGTAAGTTGAATCTTTCGAAAATGCCCACGCATGGATGACGTCACACCACCTTATAATTAAATAACTAATTTATTAATATTTAAAAAAATTAAGCAAGTTGGTTATTTATAATAATGACAGACATATTATAACAAGCACCTATCCTATGAAAAGATGGTAAATTTGTGTAATAAAATACATTACAATCTTATATTTAGGATCCACGCAGATGTTTTATTTAGTTTTTTTGTTTAGATCGGAGATAATATGAAATTAATGATCTCGAAAAGATTACTAGCGGTGGAAATCGGAATCATATGTTTAGCCAAACAGGCTTCCAAGTTCCAAATCTATTGGGTCCGCTGGTCAAGCCCATTCTCGTGGTACTTGGCCCATGAGCTTTATGATTTGTGAAGGTGTCAGTGAATCACATTGATCGAGAAATTCAGATGGACTTCAAATTATAAAGTACCCCTAATGTACATGCTTTGAATGGTACTATGTGATTCGCCGATAATCTTTTTGTTATCGGGTTTTGAAATTGTTTTTAATGAGCTGAATTTAAAAAAATTAAAAAAAAGATCTTGAAATTTTAGTATAAAAAATTATAAAATAAAATATTAATAAAGATTAATCAAAAGTTTTTACCCCACTTTTTTAATTTGAATTCATTAAAAAAAAATTTTCCTTCCCTTCCCCTTTACTTTCCTCATACCAAATATAGGATAAATCTTTAGCCTCACTCATTGCTTCCCCTCGCTTCTAAAGATAAATACTTACCATTCATTTGGCCCGGATAGGTCAAAAGATAGGGGAAATAGAAGATTAAAAAGAAAAACTTTCAAAAATAATAAATTTTATTATATTTATTTTTAAAATTTTGTCATTTCTTTTTTAAAATGAATAAAGTGCGCGAAACAAAGTCTTGCTTGTTACTGACGGCCACAACTGTTAACCCAATTATACGCCCGGCCCAAAGTAAACCCAATAACGAGTGACTGCGGTCATCCGAGAAAACATATATTGACAGGCCGAGAAAGGAGAATCGTGCTCGGTTTTCCGTCTTCTTGTTTCTTTGGGTTAGCTTGCGCAGAGCTTTCCTCTGTTAAACCGATAAGGTGAACGCTGACGCTGGAGTCTATGACCGTATAACGTATACGAGCAAATGGACGCTATGCCAGATAAGGGAGAACTGATCTGAGACAGAGATAGGGAGAGAGAGTAAGGAGGGAGGAAGAGCAAGCAGCGAGCACAGCTAGGTGCTCCAGGCATGGCTTCATTAACTAATTTGCCGCCACATACCCACCCTCGCACAAACCCTGTGTCCTTCCACTTTTCCCCGGCAGTTCCTTCTTTCCGTTTCCGTCGGAACGTATCCTTGCTACACACTCGTCTCTGCGCCCTCAACACGGGTTCTGACGCCGATAATTTGCTCAGGAAGCCCGTCGTTTCTCCCGGTAAGGACATCTCTGAAATTTTGGAAGAAGATCAGGACAGCGGCGTAAAGAGGGCCTTTGACGATGTCAGTGAACACGAGAGATGGGTTGATTGGGAGGACCAGATTTTGGAGGATACTGTTCCTTTGGTTGGTTTTGTGAGGATGATTCTTCATTCTGGAAAGTGAGTTTTCCTTGTTCCCATGACATTTTCCTCTTACAGGATTTCAGAGTCTTAGCATTCGGGGGAGGCAATTCGAATTAACGATACGGCCGGTCATCTTCGAAAATCTATATTTATCATATTTAAAATCCGGAATAAAGTTTGGGCGCTGTTCCTGTAATTGTTTTGGTGTTTAGTGGGATGAGTTACTTAACTCAGATATTAAAAGTTCAAGTCTCTTAAATGCCTTGTGGTTGGTTGTTTTACTTCTATATTGTGAGCATGGTGTAAAACTGACTTGCATTCCACTGTCAACTGTACCCCAGTATTGTTTATCAAGAAAGCATGACTAATTTTCATATCAAATTTACTCCTACTCTCTCCTTGTTTCCAGCTCAACAAAGCACATTTCTTCTAACCCCAATGTATCCATCCCTAAGGGTTGTGTTGGTCTGAATGAGAGGTACGAGAGTGCATCACCATCTCCTTATTACCTTTTGCAATCTTCTAACTCCAATGTATCGATCATTGGATTAACATATGCAATCTGCAATCTGTATTTTTCACCCGAATTTTGAGTATTATCTATCAGCCTCCCTCTCTCCCTCTCTATTGCTCTCTTTCCCACCACTCCATTAAGAAGGGTCTAAAATCATTGCATATTATTTGTAAAAGTCTCTTTCCCAAAGATCTGATAAATTTAATGACAATAATATTATTGATCATATTCTTATGAAGTGTTCCGATTTCCTTCATGCTAATCATAAAATTTTGATTGTGAAATCATGCCATAGATATGAAAGTGGAGATAGACTGATTCCAGAGCACGAGAATACCATTCTTGAGAAACTCCTTCCCTTTCATCCAGAATTCGAGAAGAAGAAAGGATGTGGAATTGATTACATAACGGTAACTTTCTTTCTCTACTGGCATTCTTGCTTACTATATATGCTGGAAATTAATATATAGTAGAAATTAAAGAAAGTCCAAATTTATATATGTTTCAGTGCTTGTGTTCGGTCCTCGTATTTATGAATTCTGAAGGTTTGGTAAGTTATTTACAGACATTGTATGTTTCCCATTCGCAAGTAGCTCCCCATTTTTTCATTTGATCATTGAAATGGGTCTGTATTCTGTTAGAGTATTCAGTCCAGATTTCATAGTCGCCAAACTGGATTTCATGTATCAAGTGATGCACTGATTATCGGACTTAATTTATTCTTTTATGCTTCTCAACCTTGTAGTTTATCAAGTTCCTGATGCAAATGATACTATCAAAATGATCTTTAAATTGCCCATATTTTGTTGTATCTGAAAGATGAATTTGAAAGATGCTTTACTGTCCACTCCTTGGCTTTCTCTTTTCTCATCCCATGGTAGTTGTAATTTCACATGAAAAATGTATGCATTTATTATTGCCTTGTAAAGTCTCTTGTAACTGGCCAATTTTAGCTTTTGGCCATAGTATTACCGATCATGGGACATAAGAGGAAGGAGAGCTTTCACGCTTGGCGCTTTCTAAGTAGCAGTAAGCCAAATGACCCTCCCGCTGGCAAAAGCCACCCTCATCCCCCGCTAGTTATAAGCTCACACAAACGATGTGTTTGCATTAGTCGATTTAACAGCCTTAGCAAAGTATCTTGTCGTTAACTAAATATATTATATAATGTTTGATATTATTACAAAGTTAGAAACATAACATATACAATGTCAATAGCCAACTCCTAGGAACCCCTTCCTTTTGTCTAGAGCCAAGGTGGTAGGTATTGACATCCGCAAGAGAGTCGGATGTGCTTCCTAAACACCTATGTTTAATCCCATATGCCAGGCAACAGTTACAGCTGCTGATAAGTACGTAACATGATAGGATCCTGCTTTCCTCGCTGCTGGTTAGTTATCCTTGGCTTCTGATCCCTATTTCATCACTCTATTTAGGACTAATGTAAGTTGACCACACTCTTCGACATGACAGGGCAGAGAAAGAATCTGTAAGTTCAGGAAGTTAAAATTTTGGGTTTTATGCACATGCCACAAGTTCCGATTGCATCTAACAATATTTACCATTAAATTCTGTCCAATCTGTTTTTTCTTCTGTTATCATGAAACCTGGCTTATTTTATTTATTTATTTATACTGTTTTTTAGTGATTGGTTTTTTATCTTGATTTGATGCTCAAATATGTCTGATAATTTTTTCGATGGCAGGTTGGATATCACCCCAACTTTGAAAGATCTAGGTGTTTATTCATAGTACGAAAAGATGGGGAGCTGGTTGACTTTTCATATTGGAAATGCATCAAAGGTTTGATCAGAAAGAATTATCCATTATATGCTGACAGTTTCATTCTCAGACATTTCCGGCGGCGCAGGCGTAATTTTTGAAGTTGCCAATGTCTAGTTTCTTGTTGCTGGGTTGGATGCCATTTGAAGGCGCCGCTGAAAGATGGAACATGGCGAGAAAATATTGTTCAGCTGAGGGGAGGGAATAGACTTTAGCAGTTAATTATTTGAAAGATGGCGATAATGCTGGAAAGTGAAAATTACTCTCCTCTATTGTTGATAATTCTCATTTGAATATTAATTTTTTGCAATGCAGATTATGTATATAGGGGTATGGATTTTGTTAATTGACAATAGCTTCAGTGAGATTGTATGAGGAAGTTTTTCAATTTTGAGATTTGTTTTAAGAAATTGAGAGCTTCGAATTAAAAATATTTACATGAAAGGGCTGGGTTAAGTTGAATATCGATGGATCTGCAAAAGGGCGGCCAGGGGTTCCTGGGTGTGGAGGAGTAATAAGGGGAGGCAGGAGAGGATGGAGAATGGTTGGGTGGTTTTGTAAACAGGATTTGGAATTGTGTGGTTTTGAATGCTAGATTATAGGGGGTATCGTCTGGTTTTTGTGCATTGAAGAGGTGGGGCATCGAGAAGGTTATTGTTAAGTCAGATTCAACCACCGTTGTGACACTGATCCAGGATATAATGAACAGTTGTGTTCAGAATAGATCTGTAATAAATGTGGGCGTATGATCGCTGATTAGCTCACATACAGGGAGGGAAGGTAACTTGTGTGTTGACTGGTTAGCAAATTGGAGCCTAATTTCTGGGTCGACCTAAGGGATTGCACGAGTAGCTGAATAGTGATCAATGGGCACTTTCGGCCCAAGGCTGCTTGCTTTCTCATTTGTTGGGCTTATCCCCAGTTTTATTTTACGCGATAAGACATGTTATTGTGTGTTATGGGGGGAATATGATAAGCAGTGCGAGTACTGTTTATGAGATGACGATGATTGATTTGGGAAACGGTTCAAACTTTTTATTTAAGATTTTTTTTATAATAATAAATGTAAACTAATTCACCTGAGTACCAAGGCCAGTTGAACCCTGCTCTTCCCCACATCGGGGCCAAGAATAAATCATTAAGCTTCCACTGCATCTAATGCCCCTTTAGGAGAAGCGGGGTTAACCCTTGGTTTCTTTTTGAAAATTATCATGGTTTTTAAAGTGCTGGAAAATGATTTGACTTTATTTTTTATGATAATATTCTAATTAACAAACATGGAATTTAATTAATAAAGAAGCAATAATATTATTTCATCATCGCCGTCAAGTTAGGATTTCTCATTTTTGTGGTCACAAAACATCCGTATGAGAACAAGCAACCCCAGGGGCAAGGGTTTGGGTATAATATAACAAGTAATGAACAATTATAAACTGTCAAAATATTTGGATCAGAGTCCTACACGTAATGAAGTCGTTAGTCCGGGGCTGCTGGCTGCATACTTGCGTTCATCTTAACGGTGTGGTCCCAAATGAACAGACATAAATATTAAACTAGTTCAGCTGCGCGCATGCAAACTATTGAAAGTGTTACTTGTATGCAACGATTGGATCCATAAAGAATATCCTCAGGGCTACGGACTGATCTCAAATATTACATATACTCTATGTATCCCGAGTATCAGAAAACACTTGAAAACTTCAAAGAAGAACAAACATTAAGCTGAAATGTAATAAGGTTCTGAACTGCTGACGTGAACGCCACAGTGAAGAATAACAAAACTGCTCCAGGAAGAAAAGGAGGAGACAATCTTTTTCATTATTATTATTATTATTATTGTCGATGGCTGCATGTGAATTGCACTTTGGCAATTTGGGAGATACATATTGTCTTCCACGTGTCTAATTCTTATTTGGCTTCCCCTGCATCTACCAACTTAAAGTGACGCCTGTCCCTTTGATGTTTGAATTCTGATAGCAACACGAGGCAGTGCACCCTGCCTCTGTGTCTAGTTTTGTATGGGCCATCAGGTCATTTATCCCTGTTCGTTACCATGGACTTAACTGGACCTCGGTGGGACAATCGCACAGTTTCACACCCCTGGGTCTTCCATGAAATATAAGCATCAGGGGAGAGTCCATCATAAACTCAAAACACTAACCTATTGAGTGAAAGAGGCACTTTACTTGATTTCTTACCGCTTAAAACCCTGTACAAGTAGCCCCCTTCGTGAACATCCGCATGTCATACTATTGTTACAAGTCCCAAAAAGAAAGGAACTAATCCCAGAGAACTAGTCTTAGATGGATGGAGATCCCTTCAACTTATAATCCACAACTCATGACGCTCTGCTTAATATTTGATCATCATGCTTTTCTGATCAAACTGGTTCAGGAATTAGTGGTTTTATTTGGCAGATTTTAATCTGGGTGTGAATGAGTGTTACTGAGATAATCAGGGAAGGATCACATTTAAAGCTCCACTAAAAATGTCTCACTATTATCTGGGCGCCCTTGCTCATGCGGGAACAGCAGAAAGTGATAATGTCATCGTCACAGGGATGGTTCCAACTTCCAAGTCTATCCACCAAACAAAACTCCCCCACGTCCACATCCTCCTCCTAACTTTGAATAATGCAGTTTGGAGGATAAAGGCTGTAACTTTTATTTTTCTCTCGCACTTTTGTCGGCTCCCAATGAAAACGACAGGATTCTACTCTCTCCCATATTTTTATTCATTTGCTGACGTGCTTATTTTATTATTCCATTATCTTTTGTCATTGACATTTTCTCACTACAATTTCTGGAACTCTCATTTTGACAACCACCCCTAGTGTGACTCACTTCAGGGATCTCTGTTTCTGCCATTTCTTTAACATGTTATGAATTCGGGTGGTGTCGTATATTTTATTATGAATGGTTTTTTTTAAATGAAGATAGACAAGCAAAGCATGTGAGGGCGGATTCTGCGGGCAGAGTTAGGTGGAAATTGTATTTTATATTGTTTGGGTATTACTGTTACATTATTGCCATAATGGGATTTTTTGTTTGTCACAAATTGGGGAATCCTTATCTCCTTCTTGCCATGTAGATGGGCAGTTTAGCAGGAGAAAAATGACGTTGTTCTTATTATATATGGATAGGTTGATGCGACTTTGTTTCCAACAAATTATTAAATACTGAAAGTTGCATTGGGCACAGCATTCCCATTGTAAACTTCATCCCGGCATCAAGGCATGCTTTTCTAATATTGAGAAAAGGACGTTGAATTAGTACCTTCTCATTATTTTTTTCTGGGTAGAGAGTATCTGTTCATCATTTAAATAAATAATATAACTCCTATCTAAAAAATAAATAAGAAGTGGTGATGATTTTGATTCTCACAACTGCCACGTATAAAAAAAAAAGTGGGTATATTTTCTCTTCAAATATGCAAATTTCAAGAACAAATAATAACAGACAGCACAACAGAACAGACCAGTGGGAGGCTGCGTCGTGGGAGACGTCTGTTATGGAGGCGTGAAGACGTGTCGATGCTGGGAAGGGACGCATAGCAAAAGTGCGTACCCAAAAAGGAATCATTCCGATTATTTAAGAAGGATGGGGGAAAAAACGGTAGAAAGCCTCATGAAACGTAGAAATTTTTCATAGTTGGACTTTTATGATGAGTCTTCTGCTTATACTAACCACCCCCGGGGCGAACTTCCGGTCACGCCGTGCAAATATAACACTACGTATAATATCTCCATTTATTTTTTTCTCATATATTTATTTTTTAAGATAGTTATTTTAATAATAATAATAATTCTAATTCTAACTTATAGACTTAATTATTAAGGATATTTTAAAAAAGACAACACCTATGTATTATAAATAACTAATATAATTATTTTTTAATTTATTTAAATTAGTCAATTAACTCTTATATTAAAAATTAAAAAAGTCCAAGGTATACATAATTACCATAGGGTCATTGCCACATTAGTGGGCCCTTGCTTCTTTTTTATTTTTTATTTTTTGGGGCCAAGGTAGCACGAGAGACCCCTCTTGAGGGGGATTCTTTTTTAATTTTAAATTGCAAAACTTATAGAATACTTATTATTTGATTTTTTTTATTTATAGTTTCAAGCTAATTATGTACTGTTTTTTTATGTATACTTTTTTATAATAATTTATTGAGTATCGACCGAGGTGGCGGAGCAGAACTTTCACATAGTTTCACGTGGGTTGAATGGATATCCGCATGTGATTATGCCGCTCATTTCGTCGCCGACCATCAAAACCAATCTCTGACCCTTCTTTTCGGGGACACGTGTAGAGGCAAGATTCTCCCAGAAAGCAAAATTTGATTGGGTTCCGTCACAATCTGGGCCGTCCAGTTCCTGCTGATCATTGCTCCACGTTTCGCCTTTCTAAAGGCTAGCATCGGGCAGGGACTCAATTATCTAATTCTCCGCCATCGCGACAAAATAATTATTTAATAATAAATGCACTAATAAAACTACGGATTACGCCAGTGACCCCACTGCGTCCCGATTCAATCCTGAAAACAATGTGAAGAGACAACGGGCCATGGACACTTGGCGATCTTAGAGGAAGCCTAGGAAACCACCAGACACTACTCTACGGAAATTTTCAGAACAGGATACCAAATCGGGAAAACTTTTAAAGGAAAATTAAGATAAAAAGGGTAAATGCACTGACCCCTCATTCCTTCTCCGTTCCTTAACCTTTTCCTGTTCTTACTTCTTCTGGTTTCTCCTTCCTTTGCTAGTAATGAGATGTATTGTAATTGATCACTCATCAGTCAACAGTCATCCGTCTGAGTTGTATTGATTTCTTTGCTGATTTTGACGATAAGTTGATCCTTTGGAGATTTCAGTTTTATTATAGTCATTTTATCTTTACTTTATGCTTCTTTGCTCCTTTCCTTCCCTTTTTAATGCATTTCTAGCCAGTGGCTCTGTTTTTTTTGTCATCATCGTTTAAATTGGAATAATGGTTGATTCTGAAGTCAGGTTGAACCTTGTTCATTTGGACGTTTCATGAATTTCTCTCACGACATATATATTTGAGAAAGAAAAATAACAGGTTTCTCAACAGTACTGTACCTCAATTGAGCCTTTTCCATCATAGTTTGAAGAAGCTGAGCTTAATTCACTGTTCTATTATACATGTAAACTCAAGTCCGTAGTCTCTTCTCTCTCTATTTCGTATTTGATAGTGAGTCGAGTTTCGTTGAGTTCGTTTAGAAGTGTGAGAGAGTGGAGTCTGAATTTTTGCCCGTAGTAAGCTTAGATCAGCTTCCGATAGTGCTTCATTCAGATTTCACCCGGATTGAGACCACAATGAACTTTAAGAATGTGAAGAACGACCCTGCGGTCGATAACAGCAGTGGCGGAAGGCAACCAGTGAACTTTTCCCTGGCACGACAGCCGTCCGTCTACTCTCTGACATTTGACGAATTCATGAGTACCATGGGAGGTCCTGGAAAGGACTTTGGGTCCATGAACATGGATGAGTTGCTCAAGAACATTTGGACAGCTGAAGAAATGCAAACAATGGCGTCCGCCGGCTTTGTTCAACCGGTGACCGGTACCTCTGGTGATGGCCATTTGCAGAAACAAGGATCGTTGACACTGCCACGGACAATTAGCCAGAAGACAGTGGATGAAGTCTGGAAGGATATTTCCAAGTACGGGATTGCTACTGGTCCTGGAGGCCCCAGTTTTCCTCAGAGGCAGCAGACTCTGGGAGAGATGACGCTGGAGGAGTTCTTGGTCAGAGCCGGCGTGGTCAGAGAAGATATACAATTAGATGAAAAGCCAAACGGGGGGCTTTTCGCCGATTTGTCTCGGACAGGGAATCATGGTGGTTTAGAGATGGGTTCTCCGCAATTCAACAAGGGTGCAGGGTTAGTAGGAGGCCCGATTCCCGGCAATAACAACGATCGTCTAACTCTTCAATCGTCAACCAATTTGCCGTTCAATGTTAACGGGATTAGATCGAATCATCAACAGTTGCCTACTTCACAGCCACCGCAGCTGCAACCGCAGATACTTCCAAAGCAACCTGCTATGTCTTATGCAGCTCCAGTGCCATTAATGAGCAATCAAGGAATCAAGAGCGGAATAGTGGGACTTGCTGATCAGAATCTAAAGGCCAATATAGTTCCGGGTTCTGCACTGCAAGGTGGAGGGATCGATGGTATGGGTTTCGGACATGGGGGTGTTCATGTAGCTACAAGATCCCCAGCGAATCAACTGTCTTGCGATGAAACTGGGAAGATTAACGGGGATACTTCGTCAGTATCGCCAGTTCCTTATGTATTCAATGGTGGTTTAAGGGGAAGAAAGCGCAGTGGAGCTGTGGAGAAGGTAATTGAAAGGAGGCAGAGAAGAATGATAAAGAATAGAGAATCAGCTGCTAGGTCGAGGGCTCGCAAGCAGGTGAATTTTTGTTCTATAAGCTCGTTCTCACCTTCCCGTCAACCCAGCTTCTTTGTTTCTACAATTTTATATTGACTTATTGGGATTATTCTAAATTTAACAATCGAGATTGCTGCATTTACTCATTCGACTGGTTGAGTGCTTGAATTCAAGAGAGTAACTTCAATCCACTTGGGTTGTAATGAAATTTGTGGATTGATTAAAATAGAAAGGAACTCGCGCCCTTCTGACTCTTCTGTAGAATTGCCATCTGGATTAGCTGATCTCACGCAAGATGTTGGCCCCTGCTGCAGACTGTGTATGTAATTCTAGTAACAGGAAAGAGATTTTGTGTAATCTCAATAAGGAAAAAAAATTCTGCATATTTAATCAATAGATGCAATTATTTCCAGGATCTAAAGAACATAATATGATGAGAAGTTGCCTTATTTAATTTCTATGCTAACATTTCAACTAGACCTTAACTCTGTTTTTATTCTCCGTTGGCATGCTGTGCAAGATATTGAAACGTCTGATCAATGAAATGCATAAAATAGCATCGTCGTAAAGTTCTTAAAAGCACTAGGCATAAGTTAATATATTTTACCAGCGAATCGATTTTACTGGGGACATAACGTGGGAAGACGGTCCAGATGGAAGTTTTGATAAATGTATCAGGATGCCTGATATGTTTTTTTCACCTTGATCCTCGACTTTCTCTTCTTCCAGGCATATACCACGGAACTGGAAGCAGAAGTTAAAATGTTAAAAGATGAAAACCAAGAACTTCGAAGGAAGCAGGTAATTTTTGTTATTGCAGCATGTTCCATGCGGATGTGAGATGCCGGAACACCTGCCGATTCATCCATATGGCTTAAGTTCACGTACACTACTGTAATATTTTCTGATGCATCATCTTTTTGGACTCTGCAGGCTGAAATCATGGAAATTCGAAAAAAACATGTAAGTTGGGCCTTTGTTTACCTTTGTTTTTTCCCCCATTAAGGGTTCTTTTCCATCTTCTATGTTTAGTTTGACCTTTACTGTTATTGAGTGGTCAAAACTTTTCTCATGGTTGAGCAATGAGGTTATGCCCCATTTCATAACTATTTTTGGTCCCGGTATCATGATTTAAATCTGGCCGAAGAAATACAGCATCATCTTTACCCTAGAGAATATGTTTTAGTTTTATAGACCCATTACGGTTGCCAGGTCTTAGTTTGGAATTGTTTTCTGGGATAGAAATTGGTTTTTTTCTTTATGCCCTTGGGAGCTGTTAGTGGTTTGCAATGGGTCATAAAAAGTCCGCTTACCTATCGCAAGAATCCCTACCTTCCATCGTTCTAGCCTGTTAGTTCTCTAATTGAGGATTTTCCCTATATGATGCGTGTGTTCGAGAATTCTGAACTAGAGAGCAACAGATGACGTTGAAAGTTTCTTTCTTCGTGAATACTTCCATCAGCTACTCTGTTTTAGGACTGCTAGTTCATGGCCATCATCATTTGAAGACTCGATAATAAACACTCGCCGCTATCAGATTTGCCCTCGTGTAGCTGTGGGCACTACTTAATATTTCATGCATATGGTTAGAAACTGATCCCTACTTTTCTGCCATTCCCAGATTATGGAGATGATAAATACGCAACAAGCAGTCAAGAGAAGATGCTTGAGACGAACTCAAACTGGACCATGGTAGAATGAAGATGGTGAAATGATGCTGATGTAGGCTAAATGCATGACTACATGTACATACTTCCAAATACCGTATTCTGCCGTAGATTGGGGGTCAATAACTCCTAGATAGGCGTTTGAAAGTTTGATATCTAGCCTCTACTTCAGACACTTGTTGGGGAGAAGAGGTGTTTTTGCAAACGTTCAGTTTCATGTCGTCTTTGGAAAACACTCTTGTGCAGATTATTCGTTGCCGAATATGAGTCGTAGAGAAATTTAAGTTTTGCATCTTTTGTATTACGGTTCATAGGACCCTAGAAGAATAGACCAGCCTTGCCTCTTTCGCGCCATCGGTTAGCATTGACACTATTTCATCCCTTATGTATGTATGTATGTGTTTGAATTGCTTTTATTTCAAGGGCAAATTTCTGATAACTCCTAGTACAAAGCAATGAGAATCGCATCGTCATACTTAGAATTCGCAACACACAAATACTAATTCAAAGCTACAGTTTTAGAATTCGCAACACACAAATACTAATTCAAAACTACAGTCACATTGATTAGAATCACAGAAGATCCTTCTTAGTGATATTGACATGCTCTGTAATAAACCAGAGTCACTGGCCCCCTCTCTAGGGAGACGATTGTTGCCGCCCTTCAATTGTCATAGGGGCTTGGGGATATGCGTATTCCCCGCCTTCTAGGTCCATTCACCCTGTAAGTAACTAGACATATAAAATTTATGAAGGATTTGACCTTTTTTAAGTTAGAAAAGAGGTTTACAGGGTCCAAAAGCAAATAAAAACAACAACAATAGACACCAATCTGGCACATATGAAAGTCCAATGACGCTGAAAGTTCCTTAACTTAAGCATGCCCAGTTGACAAGATCCAAAAAAAATTCCAAAAATTAGAATCAGAATTAAAATTAGAATGCTACAAAAGCTCTTGAGCGAGGGAGTCAGAGTCAATATCCCTATTTATACAACTAAGATGTCAGTTACACTAACAACTAAAGCAAATCTTTCAGTTGATCTCATCATAATATTGATCTTCAGAGCATCAAGGAGGATCCTTCGTATCCAAAAAAATAAAAACATAAAGGAGCAGTGACTCACAGATGAGCCAACTGAGCTTTTCTATGCGAGCGTATTCTCCGCAGAACTGTCTGTACTTGGTTCGGCTGGTAGCATAGTGAATGACTGAATCTAACACCTTCGCTTTTTGCTGCTTCCCTGTTGTCTGAAGTTTCATGCCCAGCAAAAAACAAGGGGGACACCTCAGGCAAGAAATCAATTCCCGCCAGGTGCTGGGCCCACTTATAAGGGCGTGATGTTCTATTATCATTGAACATTATAGCATCCCCGACAATGAGCTTGGCTGACTGTATTACCAATCAAAAGGATTATCATGACACAGACATATCATACAAAGTTGTGGGAATAAATGAAGGATACAGATATACAATGAAGAATGAGCCACAAAAATGAATTAGAAAACATCCCATTTGCATACCTGGTGAGGGAATTCGAGACCTGTGTCATCGGGGAATAAATTGCACAAGATGTCATTGTTGGGACCATCATCAGATGCTTCAATTCCAACACATACAATATTCAACTTCACCAAGTATTCAAATGTTAGAATGATGAGTTTTGCCGACTTAAAATCGGGAACCTCATCATCATACACGTGGAGATTGATTTTAAGTGGATGGACTTGCAATGCGGCTGAGTGGTAAAGACTCTCCTTGCCTTGAACCATCCTAGGCCGTTTTCTTTGTCCCTGCATATCTTCTATGTCATCAGGTGCTTCGTCTCTTAATTTGCTAACACCCAAGGAGGTGGAAATACCTGAGAATCAAAACCAAATTGCACTGAAATCATGAATTTTCTATTGAGGTGGAATAATAAAATAAATGTCAAATTTGAAGAGGGTCAGAACTTAGTACTCAGACACTTTAGCAATCATAAAGCCAAGTGGGGTGGACACAATTAAAAATAGATGTTCAATTGTACCATTTATTATCTTAAGGCAGCATATATGGAATAACTAATCTTTCTGTATGATATTGCCTTTTTTACCAAAAAAACTAATCTTGAACACTTACAAGACTTTCTTTCCGATACTCTTTGGATGCTGTTAATATTTCACCTATCATAAATCCTCGTCTTAGATAATATTGTCAGAGTAATGGTCTAGTATAGGGTTTAATCATTAGAAACATATAGAAAGGACAGATTCATAATCCCTTGTCAATAGACTTACTGCAAGCTGCTACAGTACTGGATAACATTTTTGATGCCCCTCAAAGAATGCCAGAATTTAAATGTCAACTGTCATTTACCAGTGTCCTTATAAGCTTGATGACGGGCAAATGTTTGAGCATCTTTTAGGGTTCCCGTGATCTCCAGATCAATTGATTCCCCAAATGCTTCCTTTTGAGCCAATAGCTCTGAGTAAATCACAAAAAGAGGTGGTGGAAGCAACTCTGCCAAACTCTGGTGCTTTAGTTTCCTAGCTTGCTGAACTCCTAGTTGGCTTTGTATTGGCAGCGATGCTTTCTTAAGAGACTTAAACTGTGAAGGGAGACTTGACAGGGATTTTTTCCGGTTTGCAATTGCATCCAAAAGGATTTTCTTTTCTTGTTCTATATTGTTGTGAAGTTTGCAGAGCTCCTTCCGCTGATACAAAATAGTAACTATTATGGCATCTAACTCTCTTCAATTGAAAGAAAAGACTATGAAGGCAGGTTATTAACACAAACAAAACAGACAAAAGTGTCCAGTTTTAACATGGCAAAGATGCAGCATATATCAAGAAACACAAAATTTGTTGCATTGATACCCCTAAAAGCTAACATCTATTATGCGCACAAATCCACCTAATTGCCGATTGTTATATGCAACGGGTGAACTTTTGCAATAATTACCGAGTCTTACCTGGAATAGCTCAAAATTGAGCCTCTTAAGCATCAAATCGTGGGCACTGTCATTTGACAATACAGACTGCTTGATGTTTTCCGGGGCATCGCGAAAAAATTCTTCCTCCGTTACCAGTTCAATATCAGAATATTTTGACTTGAAGTCTCTGCAAGTCTTTATTGCTTTAACATAGTGGCTTTTCTCATACATCAGGTTTTGAAGCTGCAGACTTGAGAAGTCTATCGGCGGCTTTGCATGTTCCGTTTCCATTCTAACACGGTCTTCCTCTAGCAAGATGGTACGGTTTGCCTGGAAACATAAAGACATATATATGCCTTCGAATTAATATGAAGCGCGTTATTTGGGACTTAAATCTTGGTATGTCGAATGATAGGGATTGAATAGGAAAGATAGATCATGACATTGCTGAATGGTTTAGGAAGCTAAACTCATGACATCACAAACAATTAGGGAATAGGAATGATAACTTATGGAAATCGGATACTGTCTCGAATTAAAATCAGGATCGTTCATTTGAATTGGCAGAGCAGAAACCATTTTAACTACAAGGTTAGTCATAACCCCTAGAGCAGAAAACAAGAGCGGTAGAGTCGGGGACCTGACGGAGAGTGATGAGGTTGAGGAACATCTGAGTGACGAGCTCTCTGAGCTGCGATTTGGGTTCGCCATCTTTCTTAACAGATAGCATTTCGGCGACGATGTTCTCCGCCGAAGTCTTGCAATTTTGCAGTACTTCGAAAGGAGATTCCTCCAACGAGCGCTGTTCCGCTGAGTGCGCACCTTGTCTGTCTTCGTCTTCCATTTTTCTTCCCGCCGTTAATTGCTCACCAACGCCCCAGGGGTTCCCAATTCCCAAATTGTGTGGGCGTCGGAGCTGAGAATTATCAAATGGAGGTTATTCTTTAATGGCCCTTTTTTTTTGGGGGACCAGCATCATGGCCCATTTGGTCCACTTGAATATGTGGGAATGTAATGAAATATAATATTATCCCCTATTATAATTATAAGAGCTAATTAATTAATTTAAATAAATTAAAAAATAAGTTAAGGTAGTTTTTTTTAAACTATCCTTACTAATCAAGTGTATGGGCTATAATTATTATTATTAGAAGGATTACTTTGAAAAAAATACATAAATATGATAGACAAAATGGATTGAGGTCTTATATTTAGAATCAAAATAAAAGTTAAATGAAGTCTTATATTAAGGATCGGAAGTAGTAGTTGAGAATGTGAGGTAATGTAATTACAATAAAATTGTTTGGTTCAAAATTAAGAATGATAAAATTTAATTCATTATGCATATTTAATTAAACACGAATAAAACTAAAAGGACAAAAATACACCTAAACCCAGATAAAATTGCAATTAGGTATGCGTTCCCTCCTTCTTCCTCATCCATCGTTGACCCTCAACCCAACTTCCTTGTATTTTGGGTTGCATCTCTTCCGACAAAATTGAATCAAAACCAGAAAGAAGAAGTAAAAACTATTTATATATATATAAAAAAAGAAGTAAAAACCAAAAACAAAGTTTAGAAGGCTGATTCATTTTATGTTATTTTGAAATTCTCAAAATACCTCTCTAACCTGTCACTTATTCAAACCCCAAGTACTTTTTAGATTAGCCTTTCTCTCTCTCTCAGCGGAAAGGCCAGGAGTGAGAGTTGGAAGAAGACTTCAAATATGAGCATGAGATCAGGGCAGAGAAATATGATAAAAAATACAAGGATAAATAATATCTTTTTTCAAATTCCCACGTGTTGTAATCCTCGTTTAAGGCCTTTAGCAGTGCAATTCCTATTACATCATTTGAAGTAATCCTGATGCATCTTGAATCCCTTTTACAATCTAAATGTACAAACCAAACATGTGAAAGCTGGCACTGCATCAGCATTACAAGGAATTCAAATGCAATGCATCCAACCAAAAGTGCCATAAAGGTTATAAAAAAAAACGTTTTTTGCCAACTATTTGTCTATATATAATTAAAGTAATATTCCTCCACTTCCTTTTATATTTATCATTTTAGAATTTCGAAATAGCTTTAAATATTATTTTTAATTCTAACCAATTTGATTCTCAACAAAAAAAGACAAATTATACTTAACAAAGATAGATTAGAAAAGTCATTAAAGATTTTACATATTAAATGAGAGATTGAACCAAAAAAAAACTTGAGAGTTTAATAATGAGAGGAAGGAGGGAGCAAATAACAAGGCAATAAGAGCATGAAATTTTGCAAGGAGGATAAGGAAAAAGAAAATTAAAAATATAAATTTGAGTGAAAATCTACTTGAGCGAACAGGCGTCTGAGTAAAAATTTATCATAAAAATTTAAAATTATAACAATTTCATTTTATATCATTAAAAAACTAATATTAATGGATAAAATGGTGATACTAATTTGCCAATATTGTTATGATTTTAAGTTTTTAAGGAAAATTTATACAAAAATAAATTCAGATGTCCAGGGCTAAACTTTTAAAATAAATTTACATCTTAAACCCAAAAAAAAAAAGGAACTTCGGAATTGCTGACCAGAATAAAATGTTAGATCATTTTTTTCCCTGAGCATTCACTCTTCGTCCCAAGTAGATTCATTTCTCGTCAGATTGATAGCGTGATTATGCTATTTTATTTTTGGTGAAAAAGCACAATTAAGCCTCTTTTGTTTACAATGTAATGAGCTCGGAATCTCTACAACCAAAAATTTTGAACTCTGATTTTCAAAATTGACCCCCATAAGTTGATGATCGTGGCTAATACCAGTGATTGGCGGTGGTCCGCGTTGACGTTGCAGTATTTAGCTGCCAATGATAATTAAGGAGTATTTAGTCTATCCAAAAAATATTTTTAAAAAGTTTTTTCACACTATCAAATAAAATTTCCTTATATACTCATGTCATTATAAGATTATTTTTAAAATTATAATTTAAATTCTACCAAAACACTTTTTTTTTTTTTTATAGGAAAGGGATTAAAATACCAAAACACGCTTACTGAGCGGCAATCAATGATGGTCGTGGAGGAAGACGACAATACTCAAATACTCAAAGACAGGCCAAAGTTTTTTGGTTCCCAGGAATTTCAGGCTTTTAAATACTCCTCTGATCCTAATTATAAGATCTAATTGACTTATTTGAGGAAATTAAAAAAGTAAGTTAAGTTGGTTATTTATAATAAATAAGTGTTGTTATTCCTAAAATATCCTTGCTAATTAATTATATTGGCTAAAACTATCATTATTAGAAGGATTATCTTGAAAAAAAATGCATAAATATAAGAGACAAAATGGATTGGGTCTTATAATTAAGACCAAATAAAAAGTCAAATTGGATTTTATAATAAGGACCGGAGGAGTATAAAGCAGCCCTCGCGCCACGAAACGAACCCGCAAGCCTGGACTCCGCGGGGCCGCCCACAACACAAATCAGGGTGCGATTTCACGATTAATTTCTTTATTTTTAATTATGTTGTTTTTAATATTTCTTTTATAATTTTTACGTTATATACATTTAATATTAAATATATAATACTTTTTATCATTAATATAAACACTAATCGACTAATTTAGAAAAATTAAAAAAAGTTAGTTAAATTAGTTATTTGTAATAAATAGATTATGTTTTATATTTAGAATCAAATTAAATATCAAACTAATTCTTATATTAAAGACAAAAAATAGTATTACTCAATACAAGTTATATCCTTTTTAGTTATTGCTCATCTAAACTGATTTTTTCATTAATCCTCCAAAAAAGTTTCAATTTATCAAACGGACTTATTTCAAAAACCAATCTAAATATAAATCACATTACACTAAAGTCAAATTGAAAAAATGTTACTTCTACACCGTTAAGGGGGTGTTTGGATGTTCCTGAAAGGTATTTTTTCGTCAATCGAAATAAACTCCTCTATATATTTATTTTATATATCGTAAAAACACTTTTAAAACTATGATTTTGATTCTATCCAAACACTTTCTTATTTTTTTTTTTCCTCTGGTATGTTCTCACCTGTAATTTTTTCCTGGCCAATTATTCTTGCCCGGAACTTTTTTTTAACCAGCATTTTTACCTGGAAAGTGACTGAGATCTTTAACTGTGAACGACATGACGACATAATCATGGTAGTATTTATCCTATGCTGACAAATTTCTAGTACCTTTGAAAACCAAAAAGGCGCCGTGATCCCGAGCTAGTTTGAATCAATGGAGGCAACAGGTGGACCATTCGTGAATTCACTTGAACCACCAGACAAATCCATGATAGCTGGAATAATAGCATGATAAAGGGTAATGAGGAAGAACCCTCAAAGTGGGGGAAGGAAGGCCAATCCCAATAAGCGGCAGCACTTGATTAACGAAGCACCGCCTACTAGAACGCCATGAAAATTCCCCTTAAAGAGCATACACAAAGTCTTCGATCTTGAGAGTTCAAAAGCCGATTTATTTTCTTTTGTCTTTATCTTTGTTTTCATTACTATTTATTGACTGAGACGTCAGACCCATCCCTTCCATTCCCGCCATCGCAATGCTTTCTTCATTCTCAGTCTCTTTGAGCTAGACAATGCCGGAGTTAGGGTTTCAGGAAGCAGCGCCGTCTGGTCGACCTGGTTTCAGGCCTCGCGATACTAGCCCTGACTCCGTCATTTTCACGCTTGACTCCAACTTCAGCCTCTTCTCCTCTGCTTCTGCAAGCGTCGATCGCCGATCCTTTGCGTCCGATGCTCATGACCATGACTCCTTAGCCTCTGAAATCTCCCCGGTACTTCTCACAATGGTTGCATTTTCATTTTCGTTCCTGCATTATTTATTTACTGATTTGTTTACTTGTATGTCGTCTTATGACATTTCGTTCTTATCCAGCAAAGGAGCTTCACGCAGTAATTTTCTTGAACTGCGGTTTCTGTCATTCAATGAAAAGTAATTAGTCACGTAATCTATGTGCTTCTTGCTAATTTGAACTAAAATTGGTGAAAACGAAGTTGACATTGAGTTTCTATGTCTCTCGGAAGGAAGAAAAACGACGAAAGGATCTAATTCTTTGTTTTCGGATAAATAAACGGTATCCCACCGTGCGAATTGCGATGGCACATGTGTGATTGGTCAAATCTTAGCTAATTACTTTGAGATTCGCCCAGTTTCTAGTGTTGATTTCTTGGATCTCTTGCAGCATTTGGCAGGCCATGATTATGAGATTTTTCACGAGAGTTGGAGTGGTCCAGATCCAGATCCAGACAAGCCTGCATTGCACAAGAAGAAGCACGGTCGTCTGTCTAGAAAGGGAGAAAAAGCGAAAGGTACGCTTTTGTTTTGTTGGAAAATTTCAAAATCCGCAAAGTGACTAGGCCCGGCCGGTTTTTAAATTTGACGTGCCCACTGACTTACTATCCGTCTCCTATTAATTTCACGTAGTTCAAAAGGATGACAGCGATGCTGGTGACACTGAAGACGGAAATCAACTCCTGCAATTGGATTCAGCGAGGAACTCCTTCTCTCTAGCTCTCAAAGGTACCTTTATCGCATCACACAATCCGAAGTAAAGCCTCTTCGCTCTGGTTTATTTTTTAGTCTCGCCTATTCACTTTACTTCTTCTCTTCTCTATAAAGAATGCCAAAATAGGAGAAGGTCCGAAGCTTTCTTGAAGAAGACAGACCGGCGAAGGCCTGCTTCTTTAGATCTCAACAATGCGACCGGAACTTCTCCTCGATTGGGAAACATGAGAAAGAATTCGGTTTATTCCCTAAGATCTGACGCTTTCCCCAGTCCTGCTACACCTGATTATCGAAAAGCGAGTGTTGCGATGCAAAAGGGTTGGAGCTCCGA